TGGAAAAACATTTTGAGTATGACGAAGAAGGACAGAGAAAAAGGGTTTCAAACCGGGTGCCCATCATCTTCCCACATTGTAAAGGACTTTTGGGGTTTAGATCAGTGGAACAAGATTCGAAGAGTAGTGAGGTTTCACAAGACGATATCTTTCTCAATATGATGATGGATCCTTCTTCCTATGAGAAATCAACTTGCTGGTGAGTAATAAGTAGAATTTATAGTTACACATACCCTTTTGAAAGGTTTTATTTTGATGCATTCGTGTTTGATATTTAGTACGCAGATTTTGGAGGATGAGGGAGAAGACGCTCTCATAGAGCATGTCTTTGAGGAACTGGGCAGAGTGGCGGAGAGTGTGATCAATCCTCTGCACAAGCCAGGAGATAAATCAAAGTTACTGACACAGGGAAAAAGATTGGCAGCAATACAATAGTTTCCATAAGAAGTTTGATGCTTTACCATTGAAAAAGAAATCTGAGGAGGTTTCCAAACTGCTGCAGAAAGACAAGAGGAACCTCAATGCTGGCTGCACTGCACAGGATTGTCTTGACGATGACATAGGCTCCAGGCAAGGCATCATGTACGCCAGTGGGATTCCCATTTGTGAAGACGATTCTTTGAGATTGACTGAAAACTACACTATGAAAGCACTTGGACTCACGTCGCTGCTGAGGCTTGTTGAGGAGCACTATACCGGTATTACTAGGTAGATGTACGCCAGACCAGGTCTCGCGTAACAGGCTTCGCGAAATCTCACGAAACACTGTTACGCTGCGACGCGCCTGGCATACATCCACCTAGGCCTGCGGCGCTGACACCCGAGTCGGGCAAAAGAAAGAGCCGTAAATAGGCCTTCGGCCACAAAAGTCAAAATTATTGCTCCACAGGGTTTTATTTTGACGAGTTGACCCTTCAGAGACCATGAAATATTTGAGAAAAAACATTAAACCGGTTTGGGGTCATTTCGGTGTGGAAAACAGTGTCTGGCGCCTCAACTCGACGTAGCTCACAAGCGCAACCGATCGCAACCGCAACGGGTCGCAAGCGCAACGGCTCGCAAGCGCAACGGGGTCACAAGCGCAACGGGTCACAACCGCCACGGTTCGCAAGCGCAACAGCTCACAACCGCAACGGCTCACAAGCGCAACCGCAGGGATTCACCTGTTAGACGGCATCGACTGTGGACGAAGCCAGGAGCGGGAGCGGAGCGCGCAGCGAGCCTCTGGATGTGAAATCGACCGTGCCTTTGACACAAAGTACAAGCTCGCAGAGGTTATGTACTCTGCGGAGTACACACGCTTCTGCGAGTGCAAATCACTTGCGTCGAAACACTGTAAAAAATATTAAGAATTTTCCTAGCCCTTTGGGGTGTATAATTTCCCAGCGGCAACTGGGATTTTCAATTTCAACGCAGTGTGTTTGCAAAGGCCAATCCCTTTTGAGGATTTGAATTTTCAAGTCTATGTGGACTAGTGAAATTTTGGTGCGAAGGTAGAAAATTCATGCCTGGAAACAAAAAATTCCGAATTGGATAAGAGGTTTGTCATTAACAGACCCACAACTTGAATTTTAGTGTCGGGTTGACAATCCTGCAAGCACAAACCAGAATTTCCCAACCCATACATGGAAATAGTGTTTCCTAACCCACAACTGGGATTTGGGGAGCTCCGCTCGCGCGCCCCTGCGCTTAAGAGGGCTAGCTGACGCTCTCTCTCCACCGTACGCTGTGTAGCGGAGGGGTAAGGTGCAAGGGATGCAAGCCGCATGTTCATGTTCGACTCCCCCTTGGGCCATTTTTTTTTTTTTTGTAGCTCAATGTGGTCCTTATGGGACGAGGTGCGTTCCCTAACCCACAACTTGAATTTTCAAGTTGTCGGTTACGGAACGATATTCCAACCCACAACTTGAAAATTCTTACGTGGATACTATTCTGTCAATCACAAGCCCTCTGGGTTGAGGAATTACCAACCCTTGGGTTAAGAAATTCATCCACCCATGGATCAGCAAAATCCCACGACAAAAGCGAGAATCGAGCGTTTCACCACCCAAAACTGGGATTCTCTTTAAAAAATAATTTACAGTGTAATGTACGGTAAGTGCAGCGCAGGCGACGACGCCGCCGGACACCACTTACACCGAAGTTTCCCGACTTCCAGCTCACTTCAGCACCATTTATAATTACTTATTTACCCAACCTGGGCGCAGTGCGGGTGTCGAAACGTTTAAAAGGGTCTCAAAGGTACCGCATTCTACACGAGAAGAGCACAGCGACCAAAGGCTCGGTTGATTTCTCAACCAGAGGCTCGCGGCGCGCTCCGCTCCCGCTCCTGGCTTCGTCTACAGTCGATGCCGTCTAACAGGTGGCTCCCCGCGGTTGCGCTTGTGAGCCGTTGCGGTTGTGACCCGTTGCGCTTGCGAACCGTGGCGGTTGTGACCCGTTGCGCTTGTGACCCTGTTGCGCTTGCCAGCCGTTGCGCTTGCGACCCGTTGCGGTTGCGATCGGTTGCGCTTCTGAGCCCCTCCGAACGGTTAGAGATAGAGCCAAACGGACGAAATTTTC